AGGCTTATTTTTGTGGGTGTTTTCTCACCATAATGTGTGAATGAGACTGTTTGTTCACAGCTGTTTGCTGCTTTATTTGCAGCTCTGGTTTGTGTGAACATGGCTTTCTGTGACTTGGGTGATAATTGAAGTACCCCCACCCCTGACCACCCACCCACCCACACACTCCACCCCCACATGGGGCTCCATGTGGGTCTTTTTGTGTAAAACTAACCAATTGTTAAAATTACCTCAAAATGTATGTACACTCTCTGGTCATCACTTATGTAAATTATGGCCCTTCAAAAGAATAATACATTAACACACACACACACACACACACACACACACACACACACACACATATACTTAGCACTGTCTTTTGAATTAATACGTATTGTGTGCACAAAGATTGAGGTCAGGCGGACAAGAGCTCAGGGCTCAGAAGGCTTTCGGAGACCAGATTTGAGAGGCCTTACAAGCCCATGAAACAGTGAAAGAGAAGGCAGAAATTAACAAAACTTCAATGAGGCCAATTCTCTTCTGAGAGTCCAGAAGGCTCAACAAGAAACAGTTGGCGGCAATTTCCCCTGTGTGATTGAACTAAAGCCACAAGTGACTGTTAAATACTCCATCTGGATTGTCAGCATTAAGGAGGCAATCTCAGTTTATGGTCACTACATCCTGACATGATCGAGTCATTTACTGAAATTAAGGATGTTTAAAACCTGACTTGCGAAATAAATTTTTACAACAGTGTGGTGTTCTAGTAAATGTTAGGATCTGTGTTATTTGTTAAAAGTTTTTTGATTACATTTATTTGAGTTGTGATTGTCCTTTTACTTGTACTTGTGTCTTCATTTGATCATTTTTTTATTCCTTTGTGCCATCTATCACTACCCTCAGTTCAGCTTCTCACTCCTCAGTCCTGCCACGCCCACTCACACCTGCACCCGGAYGCATGAAGCTCAGCTCTTTTTCATCTCTTTGTCAGCCCCAGTGGATTTTTTTCCCCTCAGTCTCCAGTTCTCGTATCATTATTGGCTCTGATGCAGCGTGCAGTCCCACTTCTCTGCACTGATCTCCCAAGTTCTTTGTCAGCCTTTTCTTTTGGTTTAAGATAAAATTAAGTTTGAGAGTAAAACTTTGGAACAGATGAGAGCACTCAATTTTTTTAAGATCAAAAACTGACATCCTTACACAGAGCATGTCCGTTAAGGAGGCAATCTCTGAGCACCTTGTCTTGAAAAGAGTATTACTTTCTTTTGACACAAGCTTTGGATTACCTGGACTTTAAAGAGGATGTATATTCATTTAAAAGTACATAAAAATGAGGAAGTCCTGTGATGGTCCGTGAGATAATGGATGTATGAAAGGAGAAGTGAGAAAACATGCAGAAGACTAAAGCCCAGCTGTGGCAAAAAGGCATAAATCTGGGCCGTTTCTGTGACCTTTCCTTCATAGATCAAGGTGTAAATCAATATGAATTGTTTTTGTTGACACTAATCTAACCTTGGAACTGTAAAGTCAGCACCTACAGTTTGTGCACACATGCTCTCAAACAAACAAGTGTGTTCATTATTTTAGAGGACTCCAAGCTGACCTGCAGTCATTTCTTGGAGAAATGAAAAGATTCAGGTGAAAAACCGTGGCTCCGGAAAGTAAGAAGACTGAAAAACGTCTTTGCTTCTTGGCACCTGATTGGCAGCACCTGGATCGCCTGGAGGTACTAGAAGCTCAAAACAAGCTTCATGCAAAATAAGATGTTTGGCAGAGAAGATTTGACATATTTTTCATGTGCACAACCCAGATAATCATCTCTACTGCTCATCCCACAAATGCATGTTCCTTACAAATGTGGCACCATTTAAAAGCGACATTAACATAAGAAGATCTTTCCTGCCCACGGCCATCAGCATCTACAATAAGTTTTTAGTTAAATGAGTTACAACAACCCCTAATTTCCCTCTGGGATCAATAAAGTATTTTTGAATTTGAATTGAATTTGAACAGTCTTTCTAGCAATATAAAATTTATTGCCAAGAAGCATTGTTACAACAAAGAAATAATCTACCAAATGCAAATTTCTTTACTTTTTTGTGCTAAGTGTAGTAACCGTTGGAGGAATGCGCATGTTTAAAAAAAGTTTTAAACCAAGACGTCACAGTTTGTTCCTGAATCAGGGTAATCAGCTCTGCAAACATAAAAGTGTCTAGAAAACTGACATTAAACATTTCCAATCTGGTGCTACAGACATGATGCACCTGCAGCATCATCAGACAGGCATGCAGACTGAACGTTGCTCTCTACACACATCCTGTTTACACTTTTTGTTGTATTTCATCCTTCTTTCTGCATGACTGGAAGACGAAATCTCTTTCCGACCAGCGGAATGCTTCAGTGTTGTTCTGGCGTCTGAGTCTGTATGTACACACACTTGTTTCACTGCCGCGCTAAAATAAACCCCCTGGAGTTCAGGGGCCTTGTGGAAAAGCACCAGAGAGGAGTGATGACAAAGGGATGTTACACCTCTCTGTCCCTCCTCCTCCTCCTCCCTCAGCACTCTTCTCCTCCCCCATTGTTCGTTTCCAGACATCAAGGTCGGGCCGTGTTACAAATGAAGCACTGCTCCACCCCACTCCTATTCACTCTACACACACACACCTTAACACATGCGCACACACACATATGGGCTGATGAATGCCTGCTGCTGGATCTCACTTCATGCTCTGACATCATTAATACAACACACTGTCCGGAGTGACATCATTAATAGGTGCTGGGGTGCTGACTCTTCCCTAATGGCTCTCCAAATGTGACAGGCTTGACATCCTCTTCATGTGGAGGCCTTGTGTGTGTGTGTGTGTGTGTGTGTGTGTGTGTGTGTGTGTGTGTGTGTGTGTGTGTG